TTTTGCAACTTCCACTCACTACTTTTCCTTTGTGTTTTCCTCTTTATTTTCTTTGTGTGCAAAACAAATTAAAAATTCAATTTTGTTGTAAAACTTTTGCACTTTGCAAAATGTAACTGGCCCGTCTTGCCAACCTTCTGGAAATAAGAAAGGACCCGCCTCTATTATCCTTGCCCTTTGCCCTTTTTCGTACCCCCATCTTGCAACATTTTTTGATGTTGCGTGCATTTGTGCAATATGTTAAATAATTGAGAGTGAGTATGGCAACTCATAGCCCTTACATATTTTCATGGTTTTTCGAATCCCTACCCCATTTTCTCTTCCTCTCCTTCTTCTTCACCTTATATTTATCCCTTTTTCTGCCTCTGCTTTGTACTTTCTTCGTGTCCCTTGCTGTGTGTATGTTGCCTATATGTTTATGCGTGTGTTTGTGTGCCACGCCTGCAATATTTTGTTTTGCGAAAAGTTTTCTGGTATTTTTTGGGTGTGGGTGGCAACCCTAGGTGCATCTCCTGCTTTTTTTTTTGCCTACTAAAGGCATGGGTAAAATGCAAGACCAATAAAAAAGAAACCGGACAGACTGATGAATGTAAATAACTTTGTAGAAACATGAAATATAATTAAGAACAATTTACGTTAATTTAGAGTTACCATCAACTTCCTTAAAGATTTTAAATTTTATTTTTGAAAGGGGTACATACCCATTATAAATTATTTAATTGATTTTTAATTTAATTTTTATTTATTGTAATTCCTTTATGATTTGTTTTAAGAAGTCATTAGTTGCTTACGTTTTTCATAATTTTTTATTGGCCCTACGATTTATTTTAGTTTATTTGGTTCATTTTTTATAAAGTTTGTTCTGCATTTTATAAACTTTAAGAATATTTAAAGCCTTGCCTGGCTTTTTAATCTTTGACCAGGTGCAACCCTTCACTAATTTCAGCTGGATTCGGTTGCTTAGTTTCCTTGTCGACGGTTGTCTAATGTTGCTGTTGTTGCTGCTGCTGCTCTTGGTGATGTTGCTGCTGTGGAGCCTTTTTTTTCATGTGTTGCCTGCCTTTTGCTGTTGGTCATTGGCCTGTTTTGTCGTCTGTGTTGCGTCGGTCAGTTTTTCGGTTGCCATAGAGCAACTTCGGCAATGACAATAGCAACAACAGCAGCAACATCATTAAAAATTGCACTAGCAACAGCAACATTAAGCCATAGAGCAGCAACAACAGCAGAGACTAAGGTATTGGAAAAATATGAACCAACTCAGCAGCAACAATTTAAGAAATTCCAGTAAAAAATATATAATATAGAAGCAACAACTATCGAATTGGTTAGAAACAAGCGTAAGCAACAGGAGCAACATCACTAGAAATTGCAGCATCAATAGTTTCAATCTTTAGAGCAACAATACCAGAAGAAGCATCAGCAATTGCAACAATAATATTATAAATAAGAACAATATAAGCAGCAATAGCAGCAACAATATGCGGTACAGCAGCAAAAACACTAGAATCGCAGCAGCAACATAAGGAACAACAGGAGCAACATCGAGAGGCAACACCAGCAACAGTACGAGCAACAAGAACTACAACACCTTAAATTGCGCACTTTGCGTCGCGATATTCAACATTTGCCATGGGCTGGATGTTGCTGTTGCTGTTGCTGCTGCAGATTGTTGTTGCTGCTGCTGCTGCTGCGGCTGAGACGACGACAACATCGCTGGTTGCTGGTTGCCGGTTGCTGGTTGCTAGTTGCTGCTGGCTGGTTGCTAGTTGTTGTTGCCTAGGTTCACATTCTCATTACAGTTCATTCACCCAAAAGATACGGCTTTATGTATCTATTAGTTATGTATGTGCCTCACAGCCTTCAGTTCAGTTCAGTTAAGTTTTGTTGTTGCTGTTGCTGTTGCTGCTGTCGATGGGGCAAGCTGCAGCAGCAATAGCAGCAACAACAACAACATCATCGGCAGCCTCCGCCTGCAGTTTCAGCCAAGTTTTGATTTGTGTTATGTTGTAGATACACACATACGCGAACCGGAGGCAGCAGCCGCAAATGCAGATACAGATACAGATACATTCCTCTTGACCATCTGTCGTCGTCGTCATCTGTCTCACCTCTGCCCCTCCTCCACTCCCCCTCCCTCCTCCCCAAGTCGACGTTGCGCATTGTTCATCTGACAAAAAAAAGTTCGCAAAAAAAAACCATCCACACAGTTGGTTTACAACTTTCAGATACTTTTTGAGTCAGTTGAGTTACAAATGCCTATAAATGTAGCTAAACAATTTATAAAATAACTCGAAAATATTTCTGAAATTCTTTAACTCTTTTTAACAATGTTAAACCTTATTTAATATTGGTTAAAAAATATCAATGAAATTGGTAGTGGTTTAATTTAATTAACACAATTAAATTAATTATGTGAATCCTTAAAATGAAGCTATTTTATTGAGTTTAGAGTGCAAATATGGACACAGATTTCAACTATTTCAATTTAAAAATTTTAATTAATATTCTTTAATTTTATAGAAAAAAGTTTATTTTAATAATTATACTCCGAAGCCATTAAGCTTAGTATATTGATTTAACAAAATAAATTTAACTATTTCAAGGAATACAGCGCAGAAGCTAAAACTTATTTTAAATGAATATAATATAATAATATTAGAACGTAATATTATTAGTTACGTTATCGTTTTTTACTTTAATATGATTTGTTGGATTTAATAGGATTGTATACATGATACATACTTTTACGGCCATGAGGTTTATTGACAAAAGAAAATACAAATAAACGCGTAAAATATATTGATTATAACAATGTCAATTAATTCTCCGTTTCTCTTTTCTTGCAGGTGAGTTTCCGTGTTCCTGTTAAAATATATTGAAACAAATATAGTTCGATTAAATTCCATTTGGTAAGACAGAAGTTTAAACTATAGATTAACCTTTAATCTTTTTTTCCATTTCTCTCATCTTTATTATCATCCGCTTTCGACTTTTCTTTCTCATATCGTATCTATCTGTGTTCCCTAAAAAAATTATTGTCGAAAATGTCGACCAACTTTTGTTGTTGTTTTAGTCATTCCTTTTGGGTTCTTTTTTATATTCCCCTGAAAAATAGAAGAACTTGGTGGAAAGAGAGCTCAATTTTCAAAGCCCCCCTTGGATTTTTCCACCTTCTCACTTTTCATGGCGCGCTTAGTTTTCCAATGTGCAACATGCAGCATCTGTGGCAGAACGAGATGGGGCTATGGTGAGCAAAAGAGAGAGAGTGAGAGAGAGCTAGCGAGATGGAGGTGGAAAGTGGAGACTGCCATTTCCAGTGTGTATTTAGCAAAATGTTTTGTTGCTGTTGTAGTTTAGTTTTCCCACTTCCAGGCAGCAGTCAACTGCTGCAACTGCAACAGCAACAACAAGAGCAACAGCAACAGCAACTAGCAACCTGCAACACCAACAATCTGCAACCTGCAACAACAAAAGGGGCTCTAAACTCAACACAGAGCTTTTCGAACAGCCTCAGAGCCTCGGTTTTGTGTCTATTACATACAGTATAGCCCCCCCCCCGTTGACTGAATTTTCCCCTTTCAACCCAGAAACCCCCTTGGAATTTTCCAAGCCCCCGCCCCCCTCCCCCTTTTTGTTAGCCAAATGCAACCAAACAACCATGATGACGAGCTGACGGTGGCAATGCCTCGCCCTAGAAAATTCCCTACTTCCCCATAGGCCCCTCCCCTCACCCCCTCACCGCCCACCACCCACCACCACCCACTCCTCACCCCCTGGGGGCCACTTTGATTTGTGGACCCCCCATTGACCCCCACCCACCGTCCCTGGGAGCTTAGTTTAGTTTTCGGGTATACATAAATCAAAACCTTCTTGCAGTCCATCGGCGATTTTGCAACATTTTTTCAGGCAAATGAAATCGAGGGAAAAATTTCAAAGCTGCTGAAGAGACAAAGAAAATTGTGCAATCCTTTTAAACACGATCTAAATGGAGCCTACTAAAATTATATGATGACAAACATTAGTAAAATATGAACTTTAATAAGCAAATAAATGGTCAGATGTATTAAAACCAAGAACTCTTTTAAGAAATGTAAAAACCCTGCAAAAATAGACAATTTTTTAAGGAACGTCATTATCTACAGGATTTTAAATACCTTTAAAAATATAATAAAATTTGTAATACTACTTATCTACTATTTTTTCAATTGAAAATTAATTTAGATGAAGAATTAAGTTTTAAATGCTTAAGCAGATTACAAAATCTTATTTGTCTTTCAATCAGAATAGCGCCCATTAAATATCAACTTTAACTGCTAACGTCTGTGATCCAGTTGTCGGTATTAACCCGCCAACTCCTCCAACCTTAACCCTTTAAACACTGGTCTTCCCTTAGGTGAACATTGGGAATTACTCACGTAACTTAACCGAAAGTGGGGGAATCACATAATCACTCGATTCCCAGTCAACACACGTTGATGTTGGGTAACTCCTCATAATTCCTTCTGGTCAAAATCTTTTGTTCTTGGCCTCCGGTGTGCGAGGGAGATGGGCTTTTTGGCCACAGAAAGAGAGGGAGAGTGAGGGCGATGGCGATGGCGAAAGAGTGAGAGAGAGAATGCAGCCAATTGGCAATACTCACACACGTCGAGAGTTTGGCTAATAAGTGAAGTATCCATAATTGTTTGATGGGAAAAGGGGGCGTGGCACCCGGTACCATCATATTTGCTCTAACTCAGAAATCATAACTCTCCACCATGGTGGCATATGAACAGCTCGGGTCAATAAATTAGCTCTAGTTTACATAAATAAAATTTTAAATTATTAAATTAAAAACAGTAACCATTTTTTTTAATTTGATTGAATAAGTCTGAAATGTTAAATACTAAAATTATTAATTAAAAGATTAAAAGACATGTTAATTTGTTTATTTCTTTATCGATAATACAAAAGTTTTTTAAGCTAACATATTTTAGCGCTAGTCAAAAGTTTTTAAAGCTAAAGTGCGATCAATACTATCGATATTTTTGTTTAAACTATCAATGGAGTAACTTATTTGCTTTCCTTTTTTACATTTAAAAGCTTTATAACTTTAATTAACTGTATAAAATACCAACGAGATAAATAAACATCGATAAATTTCGATACTGTCGATGATTTTGATAAAAGATCGATAACTTTTGTTTAGATTTTCAAATTCTTCTATTTTTTTGAGCCCAACTGTATAAACCAAACTATTGAAATGTTGGAACACTTTGGCCTTTGTATCTTTGTATCGGTGTGGGGCTCTGTTTTAAATCTGTATGGGTACATCCTGGCGAAGGTGTGTGTGAGTGTGTTAGTGTGTGGGATGCGTGAGTTGCATGAGTGCAGGATGCGCGCGCTGCACAGAAACCCACGCACACAATCACACTTGGACATGAGAAGCTCAAGGAACAAGCGACGACGATGGTCCTCAATCAGGAATTTCTAGGCGGAAAAAGAGGGGGGGTGGAGAAAATTGGGATGCATGGAGTCGAAGTGGATGTGGAGGTGGAATTGGGATGTGGATGTGGATGTGGAGGTGACCGGGTGGCGAATCGTTGGAGGATTGGTGGAAAATCGTGGAAAATTTTCGGCAGCCGCCAACCCATTAACACGATGTCCACGATGACGATGGCGATATGACGAGCGCAACTCCACCTCGGTTCGCTGGTTTTGTTTGTCGTCGCTTTTTGGGTTTTGCCTTTGTGTTAATATCACGGCAACACTGGAACTGGACCTGAGAACCATCCGCATGTGTATATAGCCAAATATATAGCCATTTATGTATATACCACCAGGTCCTCGATGTGGCAAGTGCAAAAGAACAATTAACATCGGTAATACCCGTTGTCGTAATCGCCTTAAATGTATAATTTAATAAATAAATGTTGTCTAATAACCGAAACGAAAATTAAATGAAAATTACATAATACATATTGAAATATGGTAAGGACTCCAACAATATAACCTCAAAAAAGTGTGAATATACTGCTAAAACCCTTTTATTTTGAAATATCATAACTTTTGATAACCACTTACTCTTGAAATAACGCAAACAATTACATCTAAAAATTTAAAGTTAGTTTTTCCAAAAATTAAATTATCTTAAACACCTGGAAGACACTTTGGAAATACTTACCAATTTTATCAAAAAGAACTGACATATCCAAGATATTGCGAGTCCTTAATGGTTCACTTCTTATTAAACTTACATTTTCGATTTTCAAATAAATGCCAAAATGTCAAAGACAAAAAATTCCTGGTAGTTTGTCCGAAAATGTCTCACTTGTCACTTTAATTAACTTCAGACTTAACACTCAACTGCCTGCCGAAAATGTTTGTAAAAGAAAGACGTTTGGTCTCTATTTCTAGTCGTAAAAATGTTGGGGAATTTTTCGATACGTTTTGATTTGAAATTTCTGACTCTATTTTTGGGTCCACATGAATTGAAATTGGAATTTCTGTGACCATTTTGAAGTTTTTGATTATTTTTTGATTTGCATAACACGTGATGGACAGGTGTGATTGTAGCTTTAGCTTTGGTTGTCGAATTTTGTGGTAGTTTTCCACTTGCTTGTAAAGCTGGGTTTTCTGGAAAATCTCTGCTTTTACGCCCACTTATCAACCAACATTTTACTCCTGTTCTTTTTTGCTTCTACTATTCCTGCTGTTTTCCTGCCTTTACGGTTGTTGTTTGGCCACACACATACAGGCATACACTTTTCCTGCCCTTAACCTGCCTGTTTTCCACCCATTTTCCATCCTATTTTCTCTTGAATTTTCCTCCACCCACATGCGCTTTGCCTTTTGTCAGCTGTTGCAGCAGCAGCTTCTGGCAATCCCTTCTTCTTTTTTCCCCCCAGCCACCTCATTTTTTACTCACACATGGAAAAACCAAAAACCTTTCCAATATTTTCTGGATCCCATATTTTTCCTATTTTCGGATGCGTTTATTAAAAATTTTTTCGGTTGAGGTGGAGCTACTTTTTCCCTTGTTTAAAAACCCCCCATTCTGGCCATTTTTAACCCTCTTTTTCCCTGCACTTCATTTTGCATTGTATGGTGGGTGGGTGGGGGGTGGGGTATTGCACTTCGGTTTTGCGTTCGTTACCGTTGTCACGAGCCAAAAATTGTGCGCTGATTCTATTTTGTGTGTGTCCATAACTCAGCAACTACCCAGTCAAGCTATTATACCCCTCTCTTTTGCACAGCCAGCTGGCGGATAGCAACCTCTCGCTCGCACGGCCACTGTTGCCATCTCTTTCATCGAGGGGCAGAGTGAAGAAGAAAAGGAGGGATGAGAGGAGTCTCTGGAGAGAGAGAAAGGCTTTCTCGCATCCAGAAGTTGTTGCCACTTTAAGTTGGTACCGTTCGCTGTCGTTGTCGGGTTAACGGTATCCCAAAGACACACACAAACATACACAAACACACACATTTTCCTACCACACCCACTCACACACCTACGCCTTAAAGACACACCCACACACACACATGCAGGAAAGAAAATAGCCGGAAAAGCCGCCTTAAGACAAAAGGAAGTCACAAAAAAAAAAGAAAGCCCCAATTAAAAGGGAGACTACATGATACTCAGAAATCTGCTGGTAAATATTAATTACCAAAAATCTACTAAACCGAAGAAAACCTAAAAAAACATAGATTTTACTTTTACTTGCAAAGTTTTAGTGAGAGTCTGTGTGTGTGTGTGTCTCTGTGAGTTACTCAGTGTGTGTGTGTGTGTGTGTGTGTATAGATAGATGATTGACTAAATGAATTGTCCAGCAACAAGTGGGAAATTCTAGTTTGCGGTTAAGGATGAAGCTTTAAAAGCTATCAATCATATTAACCGTAACTTGATAGTGACTTGACAGGAATTTAATAAGAACTTAACTGTAACTTAACCGATACTTCACCTGAAATTTAATTTAATTTATTGTCCAGCAACAAGTGGGAACTTCTAGTTTGTGGTTAAGGATGAAGCTGTTAAAGATGTCAATCATATTAACCGTAATTTGATAGTGACTTGACAGGAATTTAATAAGAACTTAACCGTAACTTAACCGTTACTTAACTTGAAATGTAACGACAATTAAACAACTTATTGCCTAGCAACAAGTGTTCTGAAGTAAAAGTACTATAAACAAGTTTTGCTGCTCATTCTTTAATTAGTTCCTTCTAAGTAAAATGAATATTTAAATTTGATCATATTTTCCAACATATTTGCTAAAATAAAATTATATAGAGTAAAATATACAGTAGTCCCATTATGAAAACGAAAGTTCATCTGCCAACCAATTAAAAGTTAATTGATAAGCATGAACCTTACAACTTACATCGAACCCCCGTCTCAAGTCAAATTAATGCTAATTGAAAGTCGTTTTTAACCCCTGATCCCCAGCAAGTTTAAACCTACCTAACTTACATCTATATAAGTATTTAGTAAATTTGTTTTAAAAGCTGACCTAGCTCAATTCTAAACCCCACTTGAAATCTTGATTGACTGGCTGTTCGATTGCGGTTCGATTGTTGTCGCCTGCCTGCGACATGCAACATGCAACACGCAACGTGCAACATCGGCCAGCTTTCCAAACTGTGTCACACAGTTGCTTTTGCTTGCAACTGACAGAACCACTTGGGTGGAAAACTGGGGTGGTGGGGGGTGTCCCAAAGAAAAGCGTGGCGGAAAATTCAGGAAAAGCAGGAGCCACAAAGGGAGGAAACTGGAGTTGCAGATAGAGACAGACACTTGGCACTTTCCTACGAAAGGAGCATGGAAAAATGGGATTGCCAAGAGACATGGCTGTAAATATGGGCACAGAAAAAAACACCACTTGAAAAACAGCAGCGGACAAGCAATTATGAACAACAGCAATATAATTTAAAAAGATTCACTGTTTTTTAAAATTTAATAATGGAATAAAATTAGGAGTTATGAACCACAAGGTATTTCAAAATGGCCAGAAGTAAAAAATATTATTAAAGAAAATATTATTTTAATAATTTATTGTTTCTAAAAATTTAATAATAGAACAAAATTAGGAGTTTTAGACCTCAAGGTATTTTAAAATGCTTTATAGTAGTAATAATACCATAAGTAAAAAATACCATTAAAGAAAACATGTTTGAACTCGTTAAAAATGTAAGAATTATACAATTTACCGGTTTTCTTTTTTAATTGGTTATAAATTTCTAATTAGTTTGTAGACAAAAGCGGGTATTCAAAAAATGTTTAATTTTCTTAATTTTAGAGGAAATTTGTTTATTACTTTTAATGAAATAACTGAAGCACACTTTTAGGCGTTCATCTCAAGTTTTTCAAGGATATTTAAGTATCAGAGAACTTAATGGTTGTCCTATTTTCTTAAACTCTGCTGTTTGGCCAGCTGTATTCCCACATTAGAACCTGATTTTGTGACCAAAGTTGAGAAAATGTATTAACAGAGTCCTTTCCCTCTCTTTTCTCCCCACTTCTGGCCGCCAATTTTCCTCGTTTTCTTCGCCTCTCCCCCCCTCCCGGCCAACATTTTCCTTATTTTTCAACACCCCCCGCCCGCTTTTCCTTTTATTTAGCGTGCTTTTTTCTTCTTTCTTGTGCTTTTGGCTTTGGGCTTCTTTTCTATTGCTGTCGCCGCCGTTCTGCCGACGCCTCTGTCGCCGTTGGCAGAGCTGCACACACACAAACACACACACACACGTGCACGGGTTGGGGCAACACACACACACACATAGAGAGACTCACCAATACCGACGCACGTATTTACTACATTCCTCAGTACTTGAAGCGCCTCCGGAAGTGATGGTTTTCATCTCTGCGGCGGTGCGTCGCGAATTTCGAGAGCGAAAAATAACAAAGCAGTAAAGATACAAAAAAAAAAACACAAAAATTCAGCCAAGAACGCCCAAAAATCAGGCAGAGTCGCGAATAAAAAGTGCAAAAATAAAGTAGTATTAGCGAGGGATTTGTTATCATTGTTGTTACCCGTTAAAAGGGCAATCGTTCTTCGTTTTTTTTATGTGCACTTCATTTAGTTTTCTGATTAAATATTCAAACAAACAAGTAAGGAATACTACGAATACATACAAACATCGAATTCGTAACTACAAGTGAAAAACCAGCTTGTGTTATGTGTGTGTCCGATTGTTGAAAATTGTGGAAAAAAGAAGAAAAAAAACGAAAAGCGAGGAAAAATCAGCAGCCGAAGAATGCGCAGCAAACGAAATACCAGCGATTTGGGCCTATTGCAGCGCACCTGCATTGTTGGCGGAAAATCGGTGAGCTAATATCTAAAAAAAAAAATGAAAGCTATGTATACAAATTAGGCAATTAAAATGGAAATGAATGCATATTTATTGACCATTTATCGGAAAAGAAAACCCAAGAGTAGAATGGGAAATTATAGTTCAGGGTGGCAGCGCAAATATGAAACCATTTAAATTTAAAGAACATTTTCTGGAAATGGAAAAGTACATTGCAATCGATTAATCAATAAAATTGTCTAATTTATTCATAACAAATCACTTTACAAATACCAAGAAGGGGCATTCGTAGGTACAATAGCGAACTAATTTTTAAAAAATATATTTAAGACATTGTTATTGTTATTAACATTTCTATGAAAAGTCAAGTTCAAAAAAAGTTTCACCTGTTTCTTAAAAAGTATACGCACTTATAGGCCTCAAATAAAATTTAATTAATTTAAAACTTTTTGTATTAACAAACTTAGTAAAAAAAAGTTGAATTACTAAAAATTTGGAAATAAAGTCTGATTTTTCAAAGAAATAGTCGTAAAACATGATTGTTAGGTATAATCTAAAAAAATGTTCTTTACCTTTAAAATAAGATACACCTTTTGGAGTGAAAATGTTAAAAGAAATTTGGTAAAATTTCTAAAAAAAATTCATTTAAATTAAGCTTTAATCTATACTAGTTAAGTAGTCCTATATTTTCATCATTAAACGTGAATTGAAATCAATTACGGTAAAGCAGTTTAATAATAATCTCCCACTTGGTTTCGAGTTAAAAACTAATCACCCAAATATCTTATTGTTTGTACTGGCAAATCTACAAATGAAATCAAGACAGCAACAACAAAAATCCCATTCATTTCTATGCCAGAAATTAATAATTAGACAGGATCTTGCGTCTCTTTCCCGCACCCGGAGTTTCAAAACATGCGCGAGAGAACCGAACCAGCGAGTTGGGGAGAGACCAAAAGAGAGAGAGAGTTATTCGCACTCGCTGCTTTTCCTTCTCTTGTTCTCTCTCCCTCTCTCTCTTTTTTCAAGCTGCTGTCTGGCGTTTTTTGCCGCCGCTGGGCGCCTGTTACTTTCTGTAGACTGCAGCGTCATTGCAGCGGCGCTTGCCTTTTCCTTTTCTTCTTAAATAATCTTTTTTTTTTTTTTGGTATTTTTAACAGCAGCTACTACGAATCCAATTTCATAAAACGTGCGGCGCGCCGACACGCCAAAACGTAAAAGTAAAACGTAGAGCGAAAAGCAAAAAACCGCAACAAACTTTAACAAAAAAAAAAGCAAGCCACAGACACACAGTTAAAGACTTGGCGCTAGAGCGAGATGGCAACTCGCAGAAGAGCGGCAGCCGATTGTTTTTACTGGCCGCTGGGGGGCGCTAATTTGCCTAACGCGACTCGGGCTCCCACAGTCCATAAAACTAGTCTTGTACAGTGGGCACTAAATTCAAATACATACATACATATGTAAGTCATACAAAAAAATTTTAAGTGAGAACAAGATAGAAACTCTTTTGGTTAAAAATGTTGTAAACAAGCTTAAAATGATGGATGGTTTTATAATACCAATGTAACCCGACTGTTGTATATTGTAAATTGTTATAAACAATTTTTTCCAAAGAATTACAGACAATTAATTAACATTCTTAAATTACCACATTATAATATACCACCAATATATTCTATAATTTTTCATGTAAACTTGCTGCAATTCAAAAACGCTTACCACTGTACTCTTCTGATTTATGGAAAAGACAGCAAGTGCCAGCTAACCGCATAACAGATGACAAATATGTCATTTTTGGCAAGCCAATTAACATGATTTATACAAAGATCCATGAGAGCTTTCGATGGTTATTCATTTTCCGACTTTCCCTACCCGCACACAATAATCATACATTTTCGTGGTTGCTCATTTCTCATTACGAATTTGGAGAGAATATTTGCGTTGCAATTATTACCATTTCAAATATTGCCATCATTATCATCATCTAGTTTGTTATTTTCACTCGCTGCTCGGTGGAATATTTGAAATTTTTTCGGTAGATATTCGCCTGCTGTCGATTTCTTAACACCCGGTAATTCGCATTTGCGACATACAACAAATACCATACGAAATCGCTCATAAATCGGGTGTAGGCAAATATTAGCCGATTTTCGTGGCGGGGATTAGTTGTAAACCGACAAAATAAAATACCGAATCGGGCGAAACATGGAGAGTTTAATTTTCCCCACCGACATTTGTCATTAAGAGCTTACGTCGTTCCCCTAACGGAACCCAAAACCCGGGCAGAGAGCCAGAGAAATGGAATGTGGGTTGTCAGAGGGAGAGAGGGGTAACCACTTGCCAAGCAAATTATAACAGTGTTTGCGGGGGAAAGAGAGACAGAGAGGAAGCGACTGAGAGTGCAAGCGTGGGAGTGAGTGCAGAGACGGCTTAGGGTTGTCAAGCTCTTTTTGTTTAATTGCTGAATCATATGTTTAAAGTGGTGTAATAACTATATACCCTATAAAATATTGTTTGGTAATAGAAAAAATGTTTAAGCTCGTTAGGTAAAGCAAAAAACAGTGTGTTTTTTAATTTTACTGTTTCTTAACATCTGTGACGACATTTGGCAACCCTGTTGCACTATCTGTCTTTCTCTCCGGTCTCTACCCATCTCGCTCGCTCGCTGGCCCACATCCCACAACCGGCGAGTGTTTCGTTGCGGTCAACGTTTCGCTCTTCGGTTCTCCTGCTCTCTCGCTGTTTGCCTGTTAAATTGGCGGTTAGACGCGCGCGTCAGGTAGAAAACACGTATCCGCCACGGATGCAGCAGCGTGCGGTGTGGACGAACGTCGCTTCCTATTTCTATTCTCAGCGGTGGTTGTTTGTCTGGTTTTAATTTGTTCCCTGTTTTTGTTTTTTTTTTTTTTTCTTCTCGGTCTGCTTATCAGCGGCAAGTTTATCGATTTTATTTTTTCCAGCTCTCACTCTCTGCGTCTTGCCCTCTCTCCGCGCCACCACTCTCGCCGTTTCAGCCGCTCGCTCTCTCGCTGTCGCTGCTCTCCCTTCTCGTTGCTTCGGCCGCTGCCTTCACTTTCTGGGCGCCTGTTCTTTCCCTCGAATATCGAATCTCGATTTTCGATGAGATTCTGTTACTAACTATACTACCGCGTGCATACCATACCCATAAAACCCATCTCCATAAAGCCTGCTCCGGCTGCCCCTTGAAAAATTATTTATTTATTATATGGATTACAAATGTGCCTCTTCAAAAGAGTGCAAAAATTTCAGACGGGTCTGGAATTGGAATTCTTTGCATCGGTCGGTCGGTCGTCGCACTCACCTTCACCACACACAAAAAGCATCTCTATATCTCTCTGTGTATAATATGGTGTATGTACGTATGTATGTAGGGGGGGCTATATGTATGTATGTTTGTAAACCTCACCACACACGACAGCTGCTGTCTCACTCGCCCGCCTTGATTTCATCATTTACCATATTTAATTCCATTTAAATGAAAATGAACTCAAACCGATTACCCCGGTGAGAGGTATAGTAGGTATAGCCCCCCTCCACCCCTCCATATACCCGATATTATTTCCCGGGCAGCAGACTTCTGGCAGACAGACGACGAACGTGCAAGCGTCGCGCCTTGCAGCCAGCAACTGAACTGAAGTTGATAACACACAGCACACGCGAGCAACTGGCAACAGAGCAGTACCAAATGGGGCTATACCTATACTATATAACCAGAGAACACCAGGAACAACAACAAAAACTATGCTATACCGTCGACAACGGCAACGAACCCCAACATTTTCGACAGCAACAACAACAACAACAGCAACAACAATCGCCACTCAACAGTCAAGTGCTTGGCAAAAAGCAGCGTGTGAAATGTTTCCTATACACAGAGCAAAATAACTAGGGGTGATACGAATAGGCCGATACCCTATAGTGGGGCTTACCTATGACCCAGAAAACAGCATTAATTTCTCAGGAATATTTTCTAGGCTTATGAAATATGAATTTTCTAAATCAAATTAAAAAATGTTGTCTTCGCAATTTGAATATTTTTCTATTGTCGGTTTTCATATTTTGGTTCATAGTTTTTTTTTTATTGTTTTTACTATTTTAGACCTATTGTTAATTTTTGTTGTAAACCTTTCTAGTGTTATTAAACTTGTGTTGTCATTTTTTAGAAAGTTGATTTATTTTTTGTATATTTTCTAAATTACTATTTTTGTGTTTATATTTCTAATCAAAGTTTTCAAACATACAAATGGTACTTATTATTTTGGTTTGATTTTTTCTTCTCAATTTGAAATGAACATGTTTTTTTAAGCTTAAATAATATACATATATTCTTTTTTGAAAATGTACTAAAATTGATTTTAAAAATATATTTTATACAAATTCCAAGACGACTGTACTTTCAAAGGTGGGGGATTTGTCCTGCCGAAACACTCGGACGAAAAGCTAAGGAAAACATAGAAATCAAAAAGTATGCAACATAAAATATATTATCAAAAAATTTCAAAATCCAAGTCTTGGATTCGCGATTAAAAATAATATAAAGTAATCAATTTAGATATATTGATTACTTTATGTTATTTTTTAAGTAACCAACTACCTAAGATAAACATAAATCAATATATCTCATTTATGAGCTAATGTTCATAAATACAAGTATCATTTACATATAAAACATATACCCCTGGCCCAATTTAATGGGTATCAAAAAACGGCGAGAAAAACGGCAAAAGCAACAAAAACGAAAAGTAAAACGGACCGACAAAATTGCAAAGCTCTCAACTGAATTCAATGTGCGCGCGCCCCCAAAGCGACGCAACCGTTGAGGTTGAGCGTTGAATGAATGTGAATGCTCAAACACACGGCGGCAGCAAGGCACCAACACCAGTGCAGTGCCCACTTACACCAGCACACCAGCGCGCACACACACACCGCACACAGACACGGGCTGACAGCAGCGAAGTCAGAGGCTCTCACACAAATCCGAAAACCAGAACACATGATTAGCCTAGTAAAACGAGCCATAGGCGGCCACCAACAACACTTCAAGGGGGGTGGCGTGGAACGGTGGGAAAAACGGTTGGTAAGGGGTGGGGAAGATAGGTAGTCAAGCTTTGGGGACTTGGACTTCGACTCTCGTCGGAACAAATGCGTCGACATTGCTGGAACAGCACGGTGGGCAAAGAGCTCTCCATTTGGGGGTTACACATTCAAAACATCTTTCGTACATTCTAACGAATATTACTAAAGCTATTAAGGCATCTTACTTTTACATTTTTATTTAGTTTAACTTTTGTATATATTGGCTTAGCTAGCTTTTTTTAAATTAACAAATTATGCCACCTTCAATAAAAACCTTATTTAAACTGTCAAGAAATAAAAATAGTAAATGTCAGAATTTCTGTTTTTTAAGTTAAAGTTATTGAAAAACTTAGATCTGAAATTATACTGTCTTTGCCACTTAAGTACGTGCAGAATTATATTTTAATTTTGCAAAATTTTGCACATTTGGATGACATCCTGAAAAAAAGCACGTGTAAATTTAATTTTCTTAACTGCCCCAATAAGTATGCTATGTTTTTCGACTTTGTCCCACTGTGCTTATCGTGATGTTTCCTTTTTTCCCATGTGCGAGCAAAAAAAAACCGGTTGCACTGTTTACCGACATTTTCCGCTAGAGAGAGTGTCTGCAGTTTGTGGAGGGAGGGGAGGGAGAGAGGGCAAGCAGAGAGGCCGAGAGAGCAGGGAAGGTCGTCGTGTTGTTGTTGATTTTTCGTGTCGGCAATCCGAACAAGTGCTCGTGTTCGTATTTTGCATGGGTGGGTGCATAGGTGTGTGTGTGTGTCGAGTCTCGGGCGGGCTGTGTCTGTGTTGGTGAGGTTGCCATAACCGGAAGGTCGCCTTTACCACAACATTTATTATGGAAAATCGCGTAATCACTGTCGTATCACATATTTTTTTTGTTGCTTCTTGCGAGAGAGCCGACCAGATGAGAGAGAAAGAGCAAAGGGCAGAAAGAGAGGGGGCTAAATCGGGACATCTCTTTCTGCTCGGTTTTTCGATTTTATTTTTAGCAGCGACTTCAAACTTGTTGCAAGTTGTTCGCGTGTTTGATGTGCGAACTCTGAGCAAACTTTGCGTTTCTTTGTTTGTTGTTTTGTTTTTATTATTTTGCGTTTGATTTATATTCACTTTGCTTTACTTTTTTGAGATTTACGTTATTTCCTATATATATCTTTCTGTTTTCTCTATTTTTTTTCCTATTTGTTTTGTAATTTCATTCTTCGCTTCCACCAATTATTTCCCCTTCATTTTTCTCTTTCTTCACTTTTCCCCCATCTTGGCATTAAAGCTCTCGGGGCCCATCATTTCTGTTATGGCACTCGCTGATTAAATGGAAGGCGGCGGTATTTTACACTCATTCCAATTGGATGACACGGCACTCGCTAAATAAAGGGTTGTCGCAAATTTCCCCATACAAAATTCATATATGTACAAATCCTCAGGCCAAATAAACCCATTAAATATTTTTTCCGGGGAAAAACCATCCTTTTCATCAAATGTATTAAGAAAAGGCTTATTTTTATGAGGGCATAGAATTTTTTTTAAATATTTATTCAAAATATAATATCTTATTGGAATCAGTTTAAATCTAGTATTTTGAAAACCATGAATTTTTAGATGGTTCTAATTCTTGAGTATGTAAATCTATTACTTTGACCCAAAATTGTAATACCCCCTTTATTTGAATTAATCTAGACTCTAAACAAAGGTTGTTTTATCGTTGATAAGTTTTATATTCACATACTTCCATAAGGCAAATTTCATATACCTAAGAACCGTTGGATTATATATCTGTAAGATACATTTATAAATAGGTTTTCGGCTTGCATCATTATTGTAACACAATTATTCCCACTGTTTTTCTGTGAATTATCTGACACATTTACTCGTTCGTTTTATTATGAAGCTTTTTCGGTGTGTGCCAGTTGTTGTCTATCTTTTATTTTTTTTTTTCAACCTCACTTTACTTTCGGTTTGAGCTTTGGCGTTGTTACCTTTCAACCAACACCCCCCCCCACCCCCTGTTAAAATATAAAAAAAAATCCCCTTACACACATCTATATGTAGGAGCTGCAGACATTTTCCAGTTCTGGGGACTTTGCCGATTTTCCAATGCAATTTTATTCGGTGCAGAGGCGTGGGCGTAGCAAAGTGGGCGTGGTGGCTGTGTGTGTGTGTGTATATATAATTTCTGTGTGTTTTCCTTTCCTTTTTACTAGTACTGTGTGTGTTTTTTTTATTTTTGTTGTACTTTGCTGGAACATGGAAAACACCCGGTAGGAATTCCTTGCTGCATTTTCATTTTTGCACTGGAAAATGTCTCTGATGTGGAGCTCTGGAAGCGCTCTCAAGTTGCATGTTGCACGCGTATGTGGACGAGACCCCTTTAGAGCCCCCCCTCACGATCCACACCCATTTTTGACCCGGACTTTCGAGCCCCCCGACCCGAACCCGGACCCGGGTTTTGTTACCCGGGACCCGTAGCGCCATTGCTGATGATTTGCAAAGTGGATTTTGTGTATTTGACGATTGTTCGACTTGATGTTGCTGCTGTGCGTTGATGTTGCTGCCGTTGCTGTTGCTGCTGCAGCAGCAGCATTGCAAAACTGGTTACTGTTGGCTGACTGCAGTTGGCAACTATTGCCCTCTCCTCACTCTGGCCGCCCCCTGCATCTGTCTCACTCTGCCGGCTGGTGTAACCCTTTCTTTTTTTTATTTCTTTTTTTTTTTTTTGGATTTTTGCCTTTTGCATTTCCTTGGATATTGCCCAATAATAAATACACATGCACCTCATATTTTCCTTACATTTTCTGCAGCCTGCAGGGAATGCATATACGCCATATCAAACAGGTGCAAAAGGCTATCAAGTAAAATGGCATACCAAAAATTTCCTGACCTAATCATAAAGATTAACTGTGACCAAAGATTAAAGCATATTATTTTTGTTGAATTTATTTAAAGCTTTATTTGTTTAAAAATTTTAAAAATTTAGAAATTTGTGGTACAAATTTTTGATATACCATTTTTTTTAAGTTTAATATTTTGAGTTAGTGAGATCTTCTATCTAGTTCTATCTCAATATTTATTTAACTTCTTGGCCTACTTGACTTACTAAAGTAATTAAATAATTTGAACTATAATATGAACAAATTTTATAAAATTTATTTTCTTGAATTAGTGAGATGATTTGTCTTGATGTGGTAACATCTATCTTAATATTTATTTAATTTTTTGGTTTAACCAGTGGTAACTGATGATGACTGGTGGTAATATTTTTATATTACCTACTATACATATAAGCGTATGTGTATTAATTATATGCCTATAAGACCACCACCTTTTCCTGGCCTCTTTGAACTGTCTTGGTATTATAATTAGCCGAAACACCAGCCTCCGAAAATCTGAGCAATACGTAACCCCCCTTTGGGATTTTGGTCTATGTGCCCGGAACATGCATACATATATGTATATATTGGAAGAGGGGTAGGGGGGGATAGTGGGGAATGGGGTGGGGGAGGGGAAGAGGGGAGGCTGGTCATGTATGTATGTATGCACTCGTATATTGTGTACATATGCCACGAGTACTGTACACAAGTTTTGCAGTCCATTTTGCTACACTTAAAGTGCGCTTGTTGCCGCCGTTGTTGCTGCTGCTGCTGCTGCCGTGTGTCGATGTTGTTGCTGCCACACAGCAGCAACATCTTGCTGCTGCTGCTGCTGTTGTTCTTGTCGTTGTTGTTGTATGTGCGTGCGGAATATTATGCGCCGCGCACGACACACACAGATCTATGTGTATATATATCTGGGATGTGGAATGGAAGGGGGGGGAGGAGCATGGGGCAGGGGGCAAGCTTTGGGGGTCTCGAGATATATACATACACACAATCCCATCTATAAAACGACGCATGCCGCGATTGCGATGCGACGACGTTG